GCTAACTATAGTTAGACTGATATGCAAACAGGGAAATATGTATATTTTACATGTATTTGCTAATTGTGGTTGGACAAAGGTAGACAAAGGTGCCAAATGATGAAATGGGCATTGTGAAGTCCTCATGCAAAAAGAAAAAAGGTGCATATTTAATCAGGTAATATAATTTCGGTATCATTATGGCTGATTGCAGATGCAACTGCTCCTATTGTCCATTGCAACAATTCGGTTTCCGTAACAGGGACAAGGATATGATAGAAGGAGAAGTAGCGTAGTGAAGCAAATTTGCTAACAACAGGTGCAATAATCATATGAAATTCTCAATTCAGAAAGATAATGCTAGTTGCTTCTGCAGAATACAGCAAATGAAATAGGACTAAGGAAACAATACCTATTACATGGCATCATTTGTCTCCCTCATCCCTAAAGAAGGTTACCAACAAGATGTGACAGTGAGGAACTATTACAATATAGCAAAACTGAGGAGCTGGATCTCACTGAAAACTAAGCCGCTGTGACATGGTTTGAGTTCTTCAAAACAAGAACTATGTAAAGTTTAGTCAGAAAAAATGTTTCTCCATATTGGGAACATATTGGGAACATTAAGACAGCAGTATCAGTGGTGGGTTGCCTGGTTCAGACTGGTTCTCAAGAACTGATAGTAAAACCGGTGGGAGGCTCCACCCACTGACCTCTGTCATCATAGGTGATCTGCGCATGGTAGTAAAGATAAGTAAAACCCATCCCTGAGCAGTATCTAAGCTTTGCAGTTTAGAGGCCCAGTAGGTGGAGGAACGGGCCATGTGAGTAACGGGAGCTGTGCACATGTGCATTCTGGTTCACCACTCACATGGCCCAGTTGTGAATAGGCCACAGCCCGGGTAGTGGGTCACAGCCTGGGAGTTGATGACCCCTGTGGTGAATTTCAAGCTTCACTGGGAAATTCTGTGAGTTGAAGTCCATACATCTTAAAGTTGCTTAAATGGAAAAAAAAACTTGGCCTAAAAGATGAAGGGCCTCCAATCCTTTGCCTTTACTCCCAAGAGGCCCAAAGTAGTGCTGGTAGGGAGTTGCAGTGCTCCTTCCATCATATAGGTGGTTGTGCTTCCAAGCACCCAAATTTTGATCACATCACTATGGGACTGCAATGGTTGGACCTTTGGGCAGGGGTTGTAAGTCCTTTTGATCATTGCCATGGTAATTTCAAATAGTCACTGAATGAATGGTTATAAGTCAAGAACTACCGGTATTGCAATCAGGGAATCCAAGTTTAAATTCCATCTCACTCTGAAGACCACTGGGTGACATTTGAAAAGTTAAGCACTATCCAACCCATTTCACAAGAGGTAATTATGCAATGAGGAACTCCAATCATTGGCATCTCAAACCCACAAAGAAAAAGCAAGATCATTATTTTGAAATGGAAAGCAAACAGTACAGCTTTCCTGAGAAATTGACAAGACAAGGAAGTTGAATTTATGCAGAGCATGTAAACACTCTGAATAAATACACCCTTTCTTGAAGTTGACTGTGAAATAGGCAAGAAGCCCTAAGCTATAAGTTTATTATCATCTCCTCTTTGAGTTTTCAGTGTTTCTTTTTAACAAATCCCCTTTACAATTCCAATGCTCCTAATATTTAATGTCATATAGCTGCATGGGTTGAACAATTACTTCTTTTTACTGTCTCCATTTCAACTGGCTATGGGACTGAGTTAGAAACCAGGAGACTGTAAGATACAAAGATATACGCAATTTCCTTGGCAACAATATATCATATGCCCTTGAATGTCATTGCCTTTTTTTAGGTTTGTATGTCTGGGTATTTTATTTCACAGTCCAATACACAGCATTTTGATCTTCTGATGGTCCTCTTCCCAAACCTAAACTAGACCTGACCCTGCTTAGCTTGCAGAGAAGGTTGGCAAAGTAATTGCCACTTCTTAAGTGAATAGCTCAAGGAAATTAAAATCATAATTGTTAAAAAGTTGGCTCTGCTCAGTTGTGAATCAGACATTTTAGTATGTAAATATTTTAGCAGTGCTTCAAGAGTGATATTTTCCCAGACATTAGGGAATTAAAGCTATGAAAATGCAGAAAAGGAACTTTTCCTTTAAAGCTATTAATTGTCTGTGCATAGGTGTGCGTTCTAATGCTTTAATTTTTTAAAAACTTTTCCAATATATATACATGTTCAAAAAGACATACCCGTATAAAAAAATTGGCAATTACATTTTTGGCATAAAGGAGAATTGTCCACTGTCAGTCTGTGATTGTGGGCAATTTAGATTAAACGGGTGATAAACTGGGCTAAATCTGGGCCAAAGCTCTCCAATCAGCTAAGAGTATTTTTAAACTGGTTTAAGACTTTGCTGGTAAGGGCACTGAGGGAGTGCCCTTCTTTTCCAATTTTCTTTGTTATTTTGGGCTAAGCATGTTTATTTTCATGGCTTATTGAATCCTTGCAAGCCAGATTCAGCCATGATTATGGGCAGAATCGATGTGCTACAAGGGTTAACTATGATATATTTAAACAATGGAAATATTGTGCCACTCAAGATTTGACAAAGTTACATATATGAGATAGGACTTTTACTGATTTTAGGAGATATAACAATTGTCTTGAAACAGTCCCAGTTTAGGATTATTTTAGTTATTTTCATGGGTTATTGAATCAAAGTGTAAGAGACTAGCATTTCATAGAGTTGCCATGAGAGCCTTTGAAAAGATAGACAAATGCTTTGATGCATTTATAACTACAAATGTCAGAATATGCAGGTCATGGGTTTCCTCTAATAATCTATGGAAGTAAAATTCTGAAGCAGACTAGAAAAGTTCCTAAAGCTTTTGGACATTGGTGCTGGTTGAGGCTTTTGAACATACCTTGAGCGGGCTGAGAAAACCACAAAGTCTTTTCAGGAGACCAGGGAGACTACAGAATTTCCAGTTCTAGTCAGCCTATAACTCCCCTCCCCCCCAAAAAATCCCAAATAAAGAAACAAACCACATTGTGCACCTTGATGCTGCTAATAGAAAAAGATTATTGGTTAAATAGACAAACTGTTCATCATTTTACAACATTCTGAGGTAGTGAAGAAATTACTTTGGGGAAAACCTCCCTCCATTCTAGAGGTCTCCTGGTATGATTTCCTTGTGGGCTCCACAGTCTGCCATGAAGTCCCCTTCCAATGATCTCTATATTTATTTGCACTTTTGGTTGCTTTTATTCAGTTACTAAATTGTATCTGACTTTTATTGATCCCATGGATTATGGCATACCAGTCCCTGCTGTTTTCTATTGTCATTTGAAATTTGCCGAAATCCTTGTTCATGATGTCAAAAACAATAGCTAACCATCTCATACTCTGCTGTCCCTTTCTTCTTTTGCCTTCAACTGTTCCTGGCATAAAGGTTTTTTCCAATGAGTCCTCTCTCCTCATCTTTATTTGCATATGAGTAGCAATGTCCACAAACAGAATCAAAATTAGCAAGATGATGGATAGAGTAGACGGTGAACTCTTTTATACATGTTCTGATAACATGTTCAGAGGAAGCAGAAGACAATAATCTCTCTGTCATTTTACCAATTTTGACATCCCTCTGCTCCCGAACCCAGAATCTTATTTCATCTTCTTGTAAATTACCATCATATTTTGGAAAGAGGTATATTGCAATTAAAATCTTTAGAGGTATTAAAGGAAGAAAGGAAAATTCAAACCTGGTTTCAGTATGGGCAATTGTATACTAGGTGGAAAGAAGATCAGAAAATTGATATTGTGTAAAATGAAGAAAATTTAATAAAACAAATCAGAGATCAAAGTCCAATGCATATTAAAATGTTGTATAATGCACTGATAGAAATAGATTCAGAAACTGAGTTAGTGAAGGATTGTATGATAAAATGGGCACAAAACTTTGGGGAATCAATATCTATGGATGTATGGGAAAAAATATGGGTTAAAAATGTGAAATTTACTCAAGCCCAAAATCTAAGAGAAAATTTTTACAAAATGTTTTATAGATCGTATTTAGACCCCCAAAAGCTAGCCTGTATGTACCCGAACTTACAGCCTACATGTTGGAGATGTAAATGTGATGATGCAACGTATTTTCATGTATGGTGGACATGTAAGAAATTTAAGGCATTTTGGATTAAGATATGGTGGAGTATACAAAATATTCTTAAAAGGAAGATAAAATTTACTCCACAGTTGTTTTTACTGGGTATAACTGAAGGATGTACAGTTATAGAGACTAATTTGATTTTGAACTTAATAACGGCAGCCAGACTTTTGGTGGCGCAATACTGGAAGAAGGAAGAAATACCTACTATTGAAGAATGGACATTAAAAGTAGCTAATCTGGTGGAGATGGCTAAAATTTCTCCATATTTGAAGGACCGTTTGAATGAAAGATATGTACTGGAATGGAGAAGATGGATTGATGATACACAAAACAAATACGGGACTAAAAAGTTGCAAATAGCTTATGAATGAAATATTTAGATGCTTTTTTTTCCTACGTTGATATTTTAGTACCTATGGCAGAGTTAAAGTGTAGTTTAAGTTAAGTTAAGAGTTTATAGTTAGTTTGCTTATGTTAGATTATGTTTGTTAATGCAATGCCCTGTATTTTGATCTGGGAAGTCGGGGGGGGGGAGGGAGAGGGGAAGGGGTGGGGGAAGGGGGGCAATTTGTTTGTAAAACATTACATTACATAAAACATACAGCAATATCTGGATTTTGACTCAATTTAATGAAACATTATTACTTGTTTGTTCTCGGCATTGAATGTTTGGTGAGAAAATTTTTTAGTATTTAATGAGGAAGTTGGTCACCTTGAATACATTTCTGAGAAAATCCTCTTGTATGAAGAAAAAAACCCACAGCAGCTGCCAAGTCACATATTCTATTCCTAATGGTTATGTAGACATTGGAAGCTGAAGACTTCTGACGTACCTTTGTAGAGCATATAAAAACATGGTACCCTCCAGGGTATCAAGTACATTTAGAGAGAAAATGGCCTCAATTACAGCTTTCCTTTTGTTCTGCACTCTTTTTCAGTTGCTCATTGCAACAGGTAAGGGAAATACATCAAATAGTTTGGGTTGATTATTTCACCTAGGGCAGTATATCACTAATCTTTGCTTTAAAAGACTAATTTTCAGGGGTTATTAACTTAGAAAATTTATATGCTGTTTGGATCAATTGCACGGCTTGTTTCCTGATTCCAAATCAAGGAAATGAATGAATGCTTAGGAGGGAGTTTCTTCAGTTCTGATCTTGTCTTCTTTTACAATTTTAGACACGCGTCCCTGCGTCTTTCCATTTATTTACAATGGGAAACTCTACCATTCTTGCACCAACGACCATAGCTGGAGGGGCCTATGGTGTGCCACAACTGCAAACTATGATACATCTCCTCAATGGAAACATTGTTCCTATAATGGTTTGACATATTTACATTTCTGGGATATATTATTCAGGAGAGTTAGGAGAAATAACAACTGTCCTGAAATAGTTAACTGATTCCCATAATAAAGTTTATGAGACTGGACTTAGTATAGAATTAAGACAGGCATTGCAGAGTATTTATGTGCACTCACCTTTAGTGAGCTTCATAAACTATATATTATAATCAGTGGTGGAATGCTCCAAAGTCTGCTACTTGTTCGCTGCACGTGTGCATCCATGGTGCACACCAAACATGCGCTTTGTGTGCATGCGCACTGCAGGCGCTACAGTGCAGCGCTGAAAAAGGAGACTTAAGAAGCCTTTTTTAATGTAAGTAGAACAGTGGGGGGGGGGGACAGCTGTGCCGCACAATTTAGATTCGTTAGAAAGCAGGATTTCCTGATTTTTTACTACTGGTAAAAAAAAAATACTACTGGTTTGCCCGAACTGGTAGCTTTTATTGCTACCGGTTTGCGTGAATCGGTCTGAACCGGTAGCATTTCAGCCCTGAGTATAATTACTGATAAAACTACTAAAAGTTTTTTTCATGGTGCCTTCCTAGCATTTACAGTTAGTACCCTAAAATGACATATACTGGGGTTCAGTGTACATTGAATGCATTGGCCTTTTATCTTTCTCGAAAGAAGGAATGTGTCTTACTGATATGAAATTAAAATATGAAGTTATGTGACATAAAATATTGCTAAGACAGTTTATATGTTTTAATATTTTCTCTTGCGTTTAGAATATGGAGGTAATTCTCATGGACAATCTTGTGTATTCCCCTTTAAGTACAAAGGCTATATATTTTACTCTTGCATCAATGAAGATAATAAAAAGGGAAACTTCTGGTGTGCAACAACCAGGAATTATGATAAGGATAAGCAATGGAGCTACTGCGCTGATACAAGTAAGATGTGTGATGTTAGCTTATTTGTTATTATTGGCATGGCTAGGCTACCTGTACCCAAAGGAAAATAAGGGGACTTGTTAAGACATAAGAAAAAGCAGAAACAAAATTTCAGCAAGATGTAGAAACAAGGAAAGTTTTTAGGAAGGGAGGAAGGATGTTGTTTAGAGGCAGAGTGTATAATCAAAGTCTGGCATCCTTTCAATCTTGGGAGTAGGTTCAATAGAATCATAGCAGCTGATAATGTTCAATGTAAAAGGCCAGTAATGGTTGAGTTACAGTAGTGGCCAAAATTATGGAAACCTTTTGGGAAAAGTGTATTTTTGAGGTTTAATGGCTAATAACACCACTTTTTTTGGAGTAGTACCGTAAAATTATATATCAATGGAAAGATAATTTAATCAAGAATGTAATGCTTTTCAACCTTTGTTTGAGAGATAAAAGTAGCTTTTTCTGTGGAATTCTAGATTTCAGGCCAAATTCCTGCAGTCTGCACCGAACAGTCCTTGCCCTCAACTTCACATTGCATTGCACCATTTCATCTTGTATAAACCCAGAAGATTTTCTTCAGTCACGTAGGCACAGACTTTTAATTCTTCTATCATCACTTGCTGTTGTGAACCTTTTCCTGCCTTTACCAGTGTGGTTTTGTAGTGACTGAGTCTCCTTATACCTCTTCAAAAACTTAAAAACGCCACCTTTGATTAAGTTTCCCCCCAATTTTTCTTCTAATTTCTTTAGAACTGTAGCCTTGTCCACTTAATAATACTATTTTATATTGCTTTCTGGGCAACCAGTCAACTCTTTGCACCATTACTTTAATTTTATTACGTTTTACAAGCTCACTAAATGAAAGAACACAAAAAACCCCAACTAATGTATAGCCATCACATAACACACTGACAAATGCCCTCCTCTCAGCTTCAATACATGACATCAATAACTGAATGCTACTGTGATCTGATTGGCTCATTGCCAAAACAAGATGACACCTGATTGGCTCTCTAAACACTCATGCTCATTGGCTACAGTCAAATGAAGGAAAGCTACCTGATATCAATTTAAGCAAGTTGTGCTTCCTTTTTCTAGTTATTTGGCTATAACTTTTCATAGAAAACAGATAATTGAACAAAACTGTGTTGCATTACATTCATGATTAAATTATCTTTCCATTGATATATAATTTTATGGTACTACTCCAAAACAAAGTGGTGTTATTAACCATCAAACCTCAAAAATACACTTCTCCCAAAAGGTTTCCGCAATTTTTGCCACTACTGTATATTAGTGTCCCAGACCTGGGATTAAGAAACAGGTTCATAGATAAATGGGCCAGAAAAAAAAGGGGGAAAAAAGAGAGAAAGGTATCACCTAGTTGTATATTCTCATGTTCTCCTCAGATTGATCAAAATAGTTCTGGACACAATAGCTATAAAAAGAAAACAGCTCAAGAATATTAGCAAAGTCACTTGAGAATGGAACAAAACAATTATGAGAATAATTTATATTTTGAGATATTTTAGGAGAATTAATGTAGATTCAAATCAATTAACCCAGCATCTGTATCAATGTAGCAATTCCTACTGCTCTGTAACCTAAGAAAGCAGAGAGAATGCAGGCTTTCTGTAAATGGGTCATTACTGACAGGAGCATATCAGAACTAGCAATAGGAAAAGCTTTTAAATGAAGAAATGCTGTTTCTTTTTTACTTTGAAAACTGCTGAACAGTATCTATGTATATTAAAAAATTGACCATTTACCATTCTTTGTAGGACTAGGTTCATATAAACCACTGTCGCTTGTCAGACAACAGGTGTAATTCCTCAGGTAAGAAAAAAAAAACCAAGGAAGAAGGAAATGCTTTAGTGGCTCAGTTTGGGTGGCTACGGAAGTTTCTCAGATGCTAACTGATTGTTTTCATATGAGTAGATATAATTTATTACAATCTTTGTAATATTGTCCCCCCAATTCTTCCTTGTGTAAGATGGGCAAGTGCTGCTGTTTGGCAAGGCTCATGAAAGTTTCTAGTTCTCATTTTACAGACACCAATATTCCCCAAGTTTGCAGCTGATGAAAAGTCAGAATGGTAGTCTATGCACTTAAGAAGCTTAGCATTGGAACCTGGAATCTTAGCACTGGAACAAAAATATCTGTCTGCATTTTTCATTTCTATTCTGTAGAACAGTTCTTCTCTCATATAATAGCACAAATATAGTTCAGATATCTGTTTGAGGCCAAAACAGTCTGAAACATTGACTTGACTTTTGTACAAAATGGACTCTATGGTGCAATTTATATGATTGACTACAAGGAAAAAATAGTATAAAATATAGGTTGACTTCTGTCCACACATTCCTTTAGCGCTTCAAGTCTCCCTTTTAATAAAATACCTACATCTAAAGATTATTAATCCTCTATCATTTTAGTCTTTTTGCAGTATGAATCTTTTGAGTAGTATAGCTTCCTTAATGCAGCTGGATTTTGCCAAATTCTGCAGCAGATTAATTTATACTGAATTATCAGAATAAAAGCAATACTCCTCCAAAGTAGATTGCATTCAAGATCAGCCTTTCAAAGCTTGGTTTGAGCACAACTCCATGTAGTGCCTCCAAATTATTTTATTTCTAAAGTATTAAAATTTATTAAATATTACAGTACATTCACTTGTAGGTTCCACAAAAAATAATAATAATAACGATTGGTACCCTTACTTCATGCAGTTCAATTATGTGATACACAATTTGTAAATTGCATGTGGTAGTCCTGCTGGACAGTTCTATGATGATGGTTGAGTAATTATGCAAATCACTTTTTGCTTTTTGTAGTAAATGTAGGTAGCATATTTATCCTTTCTGACAGAATTGGCTGTGATTTTTGTTTCTGTGAAATAAAACAGATTGCAAAAAGTCTCTAAAGTGTTTTTGAGTTATCATAACTTCCTATAAGTAGATACAGTATCTTGAACTCTCTGAACTTTATGATGTAACTGTATTGTTTTCCTTTTCCCCTCAGATTAGCAAAATCAAGAACATTTGGGATGATTTGATTCTGGAGATGAAAATTTTCCAATCAAAGTTATGATACTAGCTTGCTAGAAGCATTTCTTAAGCATTTCTTTTGCATTTCTTAAGAAATTATTCTATTGCCAGATGCGGCCAGCTTCTAAACTCCACATGTTTGCTGTTATCATTCTTAACAGCTTCTAGGGAACCTTCTTCTGTGCCATAAAACTTTGGAAGAAATCCATGAATTTTCTGCCATTTTATCATTAGATTAAAGTTATTATCTTCAGAATATTGTATCCTTAATGGTTTAAAGTTTTTTAAAATTGATTTGCCATGTAATGTTTAAGAAACTGGTTAAAATATTTTTATGTGACTTTGTTCATTGTGGGATTCAACACTGGAAAGTATAGCAGAAGCATGCCCAACATCTGAAGATTTTATAGCTCAAGTTTAAGCTACTGATTGACCAAACTGTATGAATGTCCATTTTTTTTACTGGCATTTATCCATTCTTATGCAAATACATGTGATTATGGTGTTTTCTTCTTGCTTTGAATTTCTGGACTGTTCCTGATCATTTCTGAACTGCAGATTCTTTGTAATAAATATTCCAAGCATCAAACTAGAGCATATTCTTTTGCATTGCCTGAATTGATTTACATGGCCTCCTTAAATGACATTCACAAATAGGAGCCAATAAAAATGCTGCCATGGATGTGTTGCCAGTGTTAAGACTGTATCTAGGAAGATGATGCAGGAAAGTAATGCATGCCAAATGGGAGACACTCTCAAAAATATGGATTGGAAATTAGAATGAGAAAAGTAGCAGTGGCTGGGAGGAGTCAACTGCTCAAAAAGATGAATTTGCTACAATTGATTTCTCTCACCCCCTCCAAAAGAGGATGCTCCAGACAGAGATAATTTACGTCAGTCCTTGACTCTTCATTTAAATGAAAAAATAGTGCTAGTATATGTGTCTTGCATAATTGAACCCAAGAGAGAGCTATACCCTGGCCACATAACCCAGGTGGGTTTGATCTTAGAAGACCACTCCTCTAAAACAGGCACATCTTGAGATAGTTTCATATCTGCACAATGAAACTTTAACCAGCCCTGCAAACAGATTTTAAGGTCAGTCACAAACTAAAAAAGCTGAACGTAATCAACATATGTCAAAGCACTACTTTGACAAGAACTACCAAAAAATAACAACAAAAACAATTAAGAACTAATGGCTCTTTTACTGACTGTAGCCAAAATCACTCCAGGTTCCAATATTCTCATTAAGAAAAAGCATTGTAAAATTTTAATTTTTACAGAAAAGAGGGAGCTGGTACATAAAACATGAACAGAACAGACCATAGAAAAGACTATTTTTAAAAAGCAAATAAAGTTATGATTTTACTGCTGAGGTTAAAATACAAATTCCAAAATAAAGAAAAGAAAGGGAGAAAAAAAGATAAAAACAGAACAGGACAAAATTGGGAAAATGTGATAAAGACAAAGTAAGAAAGATAAACATAGACTGTTAGATAGGTGGATTGAAGAGACTGGAAACAGGCTTCAGACAACAGCTCTTCATTCAGCAACTATTTACAATCCAGCAACCAGTCCCTCTAACAGCCAGCCCTTTTATAGGGAGCTGTCAAGGAAACCAGCCAATCATATTCAAGTATTCTTCCTGCCCAAACAGCAGACCAGAGGGAGAACTATCTTGTCAATATCTAACACCCTTCCCTCCTAGATGGAGCAATCCATTTTACATACATAGTCGCGTAGGTAGGCAGGGTGTTTACTACTTGACCTGCGTTGTTCAGTTTTCATGGCGGTACCGGCTGAGAGGTTGTGCCTGCTGCTGCCTCTTGCTCTGCCCCTGGAAAGTCCTGGAAACTTTTGGGTGGGGCCTTGGATTCTACAGAAACCAGTTTGCTGGAGGAGCGTCGCTAGATTCCTGGTTCTTCAGGTGCGTTATCCGGTTCCATTGGGCTTGAATCT